CAACCAGAAACAGACTCATAGATACAGAGTACAAACTGGTGGTTGCCAGAGGGGAGGCAGTGGGAGAATGGGCAAAAAAAACAAAGGGGATTCAGAGGTACAAACTTCTAGCTATAAATCACAGGGATGAAAAGTACAGCATAAGGAACATAGTCAATAATATGTAATGATTGTATGGTGACAGGTGGTAAGTAACTACACTTATCATGGCAAGCATTTCCATAGTGTATATAATTGTTGAATCACTAGATTGGACACCTAAAACTCATATAATATTGTACATCAACTGTACTTCAATTAAAAATAAAAATTTTAAAAACAAAGTCAATTAAGCTACAAGCCCCATCCCAACAGTTGAGCAGCCCAATGTGACTTCTGACTTGAGTAATTACAGGACTGAACTGACCTATCATTTTAGATGAACTGTTCGCATTAAGTTGCTCGGGACCAGGAAGGCCTGAGCCAACCCAGGGGAAGGGACCTTTCCCAGGTGCACTCATCTATCAATGCCTTTTTCGAGGAGTGTCACTTCCTGGGTACATCTTCATCACCATCTTCATATTTGTTATTTGGAATTTGGAAATATCCTCAGATGTCTCTCCAACTTCCTTAGTCAAATGGGAAAAAAAGGCTAAAAAAAAAAAAAGGCAAAAAAAACCCTTGGGAATGAACCCACATTTTCCTCTGAATACAAGAATCATGCTGCTCATTTATATCTCTGAGTGGTTTTGTTTTATTTATGTCACTGTTTGAAGAACTTGCTGGGTCCCATTATTGTTCTGAAGTGGTCGGATTTCCTCCTCCTTATTCAGGCATGGCTACTGATTTTTTTTGACAATGCTTAATATGAAAAGTCATAAATCTCCATGCAGTAGAGCCATAGAACTATACGTATCCGGGCAAGTGGGCATGCGCTGGGTGTGAGGAGGAAATCTTGTGTCACCATTGTTCTGCCACCAGACCGATGCTGTCGGAGAGAAGACATGTCACAGGCTTGAACCTGCACGTGAAAGAAGTATTCAAACAAGCTTTAAAAAATATTACGTGGTTTTACAAATATTTCAGTCACAAATCAGATGTCAGCTCTAAGTGCAGTGTTTATAGAGTCCTGCTGCTCTGTGTGATGCAGCCCCATAAAAAGATAGAAGTGCTTGCATATTTGCACCAGAAGGCACTTTTTTCTGAGGAGCCCATTATTTGGGGGATCCTTTTATAGCAGCAGCAAGTCCAGTTAGAAACTGCCAGTACTTCTTACTGCTTCTGCTTTCTCACCATCTCCACTGGTGTCCTCTCAGACCAAGCCACCACCTGGTTTTTTTTCCAGGTTCTAGCAACACCCCACTGCCAGCGCACCGCCCCCCCGCCTTCATCCATTCTCCATGAGACTGCTAGTTATGCAGTTCATATCTTCTCCTGCATAAAACTCTGAAATGCTTTCCCATTTTTTTCATCAGGTAGGGTTTGATCAGGGAAAGAAAACTAGAGGTGAAATGGAACAAGGATTTAGTATAGAGATTCGAACTTATGCAGTTCTTGGGGAAGTGAGCTGAAAATCAATTCACCCAACATCAACTTGCCAATTTGACCCCTGCATCTAAGATTGCAGAGCAGGTACCTTCAGCCAGGTCCAGGACCAGGTGTGACAGAGGCAGGGGCAGGAAAAGGGCATGAGTCTATGAAATCCAGGAGGACACTCATTCGCATGTAAAATTTTCAGGAAGTCCTATCCTCTGAAATGTGAAATGTAACCGAAATGAATATTCAACTCAGGGAGACAGAAAAATCGTAAGCATAACGGCCTGAGTGAAATAACTGTGGCAAAATCTCGGGGAAACAAAAAGAAAATTGCCCCCCAAACTCCCCACCCACCACCAAATCTCTAACAGTTTGGCAAATTTGCTCTATATTTTATAAAAGTTAATTTGTGCATGTATTTTCAAAAATGACACATCCTACATATTGTCTCTGGTTTCCAGCTCAACCCTATAGTACTCGTTCTCTTCTCTTGTCTTTTTTTTTTTTTCCTTTGAAGTGTGCTTCTATACGCATTGGGGTTAGAAGTATTGTTTCCTTTGACCAGGCTCGTGCCGGTAATTGCAGACTAGCCTAGGTGTCTCTGACTGCTCAGATTTCACATTTGAAGTACAACAAAGCTTTTGGCAACTGCGTTTATAGCTCCGCTCTTTTCCCACTACCTTCTGTTGCAGGTGTATGCAATGCTGAAGCTTCCCATGGATGCTCTGGAAAATGCTGGAAGCCTGCTTTTTTTGGTGCAGGTCACTCCTGTCTGTAAACCGGCAGCTCTCATTGTCCATCACCCTCCTCCGTACCCTGTGAACTCTTCACTCTATGGTGGAAGGCCAGTGGTAGCCCCTTGCCTATTCGGCTTTCAGGCTGAATGTGGGTGAAAGAGCCATACAGGAGTTCCTGTATGTAACCGTGCAGGAACCATGAGCATTATATACATATTTTTTCACGCTAAAAGACACATTCCAGCTTAGAGTAATGTCGGCTACAGTTTGTTCTTTCATCCTTTTTTATCCTTTAAGTGTGAGTTACATTGTTTGTGATCATAGGAAGCAGCAACTCGCTCTGCCTGAGGAATTTCCCAGGAGAGATGACATTTAAGTGGTTTTTTTTTTTTTTTCACAGATTCACAGGTTGTGAGCTTGCAACTTACTAACATTGCTCTTTCAAATCTGTATCAATTAACCATGCAGTTTGGTACTTTTCTAGTAAAAGTGCTACTGCTGTTGGTTTTTTGTTTTTTTGTTTTTTCCTTTTTAAAAAATTGAAGCCTGGTTGACATGCAATGATAGTGATAGTGTTTCATCAGTTTATCCAAGTTTCTGGGCCCCATCAGCCAAAAGGAAGGAAAGAACAAATTAACCCCTATGGAAGACTGAATCGATCATTAATGAACTGTGATTTTTGTCACCAGAAAGAACTAGCTACCTATTCCTTGCTCTCAGTAACAGGGAATAAGGCATTGAACAGTGAGGTCCTAGACATCATCAAGGAAAATCATTGTCCTGTGCGGTGACCGGCAGGCACACGGCGACTCTCTAAATAGACACCAGCTTCTGTCACCATGTGAATTATTTAGATGATGGAAGCTTGGCTTGCAGAAGAGCACTACCAACGAAAAACTATGGCCGTGCTAGCCACACGTCCTACAGTTGTCTATCAAACAGTCGAAATCAATTATTTACACATTATGGGCCAATACATGTCAAACTCCTCAGTTCCAGATAATTGCAGTGGATTGATGTTAAACTGCCTTGGGCTCGGTGCTCCTTTCTCCCCAACCCTGGTCTCTTTTCCCCTTGTCTCTTGAATGTACCACTGCGAATCATCCTCTACCTGCTGCTCCCCCAAATGATCTCCTCTCTAACCAAACAGTCCCTCTGAAAAAAAAAAAAATAATAATAACCTAGGGAATACATAGTAGTTCCAATGTGGCCGAACAGAACAGAACTATCATTTGTTAACCAAGTGCTGTGTGCCAGACCTGCGGTAGCTTTGATACTTGGAAGCTCATTTCACTGAATGCCTAGGACAGCATAGGAAATGTGCTTTTGTTATTCTAATTTACAGATAAGAAAACTGATGCTCAGAAGGTCAGGGATTTCAGAATGTCTTTAAGGAACAGCTTGAGAGCTTCAGAGGCATGTTCTTTTACCTGGTTCCCAGTCAATGTGTCAGCATCCTCCGAATGTATGCGGCTAGCACTCGGTGTAGACCACTGTTTCTGGCAGGGGTTTCGCTCTTGGCCACGAAGGTGTTTGTCTTCACACTTTCAGTCATGCCTTCTTTCCAAGAGAATCCCTTCATTTAGGAAACATATGGACGCATGAAAGCTCTGGAGCTGGGGTTCTTGTTGTCAGTGATGGAAACTTGGTGAATACTTAGTATGTGTTACAAATGAAGATAAATAGGATAAATAGAGAGGTTTTTACTCTTTGGAGACAGCAAATTTCAGTTTCAATTAAGTTATAGTCACTTGCATTATAACAAAGGATTTTTGGTTTTTGTTTTTTTTTTTAAGATTTATTTATTTGAGAGCATGCATGTGCGTGCACTCATGGCGGGGAGGGGCAGAGGGAGAGAGAGAATCTTCAAGCAGACTCTCCGCTGAGCATGGACCCCTCCACCCCCGACCCGGGGATCAATCCCAGGATCCCAAGATCATGACTTGAGCCAAAACCAAGAGTCGGACGCTTAATCAACTGTGCCACCCAGGAGCCCTGGAGTTTTGCTTTTAATGATTTTCGAAGTATTTCTGACTATGTGCCCTAGACAAAAGAAAAAATCTAGAGCAAGAGAGGTTTTTATTCTTGTTTTTTATTATTAAATCTAGGCGTGCCCCCCCCAGTTGTTTTTTGGGGGAATAATCTGTGAAATGATCAAGGTCAAAGATTTTTGTCCTATGTATATATTATATATACAATTTCTGGCACATGATGGACCTTTCAACAGAAGTTTGTTCACTTGGATAGTGAATGAGTAATGGAATGATCAGTAGCCTCAGTATATTTAATTTATTTGAAAAATGACAAATGAAAAAGTTCTGATACAAGGCTGGTTTTGACATGTTATTGATTATGAGGAGTTTTTTTTTTTTAATGAAGATTACTGTTGAATTAACCAAGGAAGTATAGCCATGACTAATGAGATAAAATTAAGCAAAAGGAAACTGTGAACTGAATACCAAGAAATATTTTCAGTAGATGAGGTTGGGATTAAGTCAGGCAAAGGAGTCCCAGTAAAAGTGGCCGGGGGACATCTAACACCATGCATGTCACTTAAGGCTGCAGTGAACTTCCACAATTTACTAGAGACTGACTGGCTTTGGCAGGATGATAAGTGGGATCATATCTCTAGTTTCACTGATTCTCTCTTACACAGGTATACATTCGCAGCCTCCCATCCCCGATGGATAGAATTTATGGGTGTGTTAAATTTTCTGATTATAGTTTTCTTTTTTTTTTTTTTTCCAGAAAACACTCTTTTCAGAGCATCTCCTGGCATCACCAGAAATGTCTTCCTTAAGTGGAAAAGTCCAAACGGTTTTGGGCCCCATGGAGCCCAGCAAACTGGGCCGTACTCTGACCCACGAACATCTGACAATGACCTTTGACCACTGTTACTACCCACCTCCTCCGTCTCATGAAGCTGCCTCTCAGGAACCTATTATGAAGAAAAACTTATTCTGGATTCAAAAAAACCCTTATTCCCATAAAGAGAATCTTCGGCTGAATCAGGAGACGGAAGCTGTAAGGGAAGAATTGCTGTATTTTAAAGCCAACGGTGGAGGGGCTCTGGTGGAGAACACAACTGTTGGGATTAGCCGAGACGTGAAGACTCTGAGGTGGCTTGCGGAGGAGACGGGCGTCCATATCATATCTGGAGCTGGGTTTTACGTGGAGGCAACTCACTCTCCGGAGACCAGAGCCATGTCAGTGGAGCAGGTGAGGAGCCCTGAGGACTTGGACAATATTTGCGTGTCAATTCAGAAAGGCCAGAACCTCAGACATTGGATTTTCCCTCTGTGCCATCTCCATTGGGGAATGTCACTGACTCAGAGGTAGCTGGGCATTGCGACAGAAATGTGCTAGCTAGCAATGACATCTGCCCGTGGGGACCCAAACTAGGAACATTTTGTCTCATAAAGAAAAGAGCGTCAAGGGAGGAGAGCTTAACCCACTAGTCACTGAAAAATCCCAAGTGTTAACACTTAGATTTGGATATGTGGTACTTCTGCTCCATAGTGGTGCTTCAGCCTGTTTGTAAACCTCATTTTCCCAATATAAACTGCAGTTATGTAACCTCGATATTCTTTCTGGATTTTATAATAACCAGCAAAAAAAATTCACTGTAGGGTGAGACTTGGCAGGCAGAGACTTGGCACACGGGCGAATAGGTTTCCTTCTTTTACAAAACAGGAAGGGTGGAAGAAAATCCATTCCTGTTTTTGTTATCATATGATCTTAAGCAAGAATGGGCAGAAGGAAGGAAATCTTTCAGAGAGAAACAGAAAGAATTAGCCACAAAGCTTCTTGGCATATATATGTGCTCTCCTTCTGAACGTGTCTGTGTGTGTTTATACGTGTTTATACCTACTGGCTATATTTATACGTGTCATCCATTGCCTGCTTGAAAGGCATAGCGCGTCAGCTGCAGTCTTTGCAACGATTCAGTTAATCATTAAAATCTTTGTATTGCAAAACTTTATCTGCATCATTTTCCAATCAGATCTTTACCTTTTTATATGCTTATATTATTTGAAGACTATCCTGAAGTCAGCCATTACACATTCTTCCAACCACTCTTAGTAGTAATATACATATGAATCAAAAAATGTCATATTAGTATTGTGTGCTGTGAATATTCTATGCTGTATGGGGTTAAGCACTACATAAATAAGGGAGAATTAAAGGATTAGTTGATACGGTTGATGTATGTTCAAGGGCAGTCTTTTTATGTTCTAGATGTTTCTCAGGTTAAATTATAGGGGTTTTTTTTCTCATCTGAATGTACTTTCATGAAGTCACATTTTTTCCCCCTATAGCTTCCTCAAGTCACAAATTTCTCGTTAAATAATCACAGTAAGATATTATTGAATCTTTGATTTAGAATAACTTGTTGAATTTGAGATTTGGCCTTTGTCATTGACCCATATTAATTGAATGGATGGCGAATACATTCTTAAAAGAACGAATGGCTGAAGGAATACATCCATTCACATACTGTGGTGACTCTGGGTTGATAAATTCAGCCTATAAAATGTTTTCTTTCCTGTTCTTCCTTAGCTTACTGATGTCCTCATTCATGAAATTCTCCATGGTGCCGATGGAACGACTATCAGGTGTGGCGTCATTGGAGAAATTGGTTGCTCCTGGCCTCTGGCTGAGAATGAGAGGAAAGTTCTTCAAGCAACTGCTCATGCTCAGGCTCAGCTGGGCTGTCCTGTTATTATTCATCCTGGGAGGAATCCAAGTGCACCATTTCAGATCATCCGAGTGTTGCAAGAAGCAGGTGTAGACATCTCCAAAACAGTTATGTCCCACATCGATAGGTAAGCAGACTCTCTCCAAATTAGTTCAAGTCACCAGATGATTATGGATGATCAAATAAATAACATCAGATAATTGAAATGCTAATCACCTAGAGTAAACCACTAACTACCTGGATGACAGTATTTTACAAGAGACATTCGTAAAAGTCAGTGCTGCCTTTTCTGTGTCCTGACTCCGGGTCTGTTCGTGTTCTAGGTGTTTTGTGTAAGTCATTTCTTTTAATTTACTTAATCCTTCATAACCCTTCATAGTAACTGTCCCTGTGTACTTCACTTCTTTGCCTCAGGGTCTGATACCACAGTATCTGCCAAGTCTAGATGCTCAGTATTTGTCAGTAGTTAAGAGTGAAAAATTTATCTGCAAATATAAAGGGAAGGGAATGTGAATGGTTTCACCCTGAGAAGAAAACCACAAACGTAAATATGCAAATTTGCTGTTGTGACTGGTGGTTTGAGTCATCTGAATTTGGGAAAATGCAATTATAAAACATAATACTGGGGCATAAGCCTGGGTGGCTCACTCAGTTGATCATCCGACTATTGATTTTGGCTCAGGTCATGATCTCAGGGTCGTGAGATCGATCCCTACCTGGGGCTCCGGGCTCCACGCTGAGCCTGGAGTCTGCTTGAGATTCTCTCTCCCTCTCCTTCTGCTCCTCCCTTCTACTCTCTCTCTCTCTCAAATAAATAAATCTTTAAAAAAACATAATAGTAATGGGTATATTATTTGTTTGGTAGTATTCTTAGTTTCCAGTGGCTACTATGACAAATTATAAGAAACTAGGTGGCTTTCTCACAGCTCTGGAGGCCTGAGCTGCACTTCCTCCAAAGGCTCTGGGAGAAAATCCTACCTTGCCTCTTCCATTGTCTGGTTTCCTTGGCTTGTGGCTACATAACATCAGCTTCTGCCCTTTTCTTTACATGGCCCCCTCCTATCTGTCTGTGTCTTCTCCTCTTTTGTTTCTCAGAAAGGCACATCATTAGATTGAGTGTCCACTCAGACAACCCAGAATGATCTCCTCTTGAGATCCTGAACGTCCATCACAACTGCAGACTCTTTTCCCAAACAGGGTCACTTTCAGAGGTTCAGAGGGTTAACACATGGACGTATCTTTCTGGAGCTCACTGCTCAACCCCAACACATTATATTAGATGTGTAGGGGCCCGCAAAATAAGGGACTGTTTGAACAGATGTTGGCTGCAGTTCGTTTTATGAAGAAGCCTAACAGTATTGCAAAGGCTAGACATTGGCCTTCAGATGAAGTTGATTAAGGAATTAACACAGGAAAAAATGAGACTAATAATACATTATGATTACTTCTATCTTGCATATTGGAGTAAAGCCATATTAACAGACCGATAGCTCCTCATCGTCACACCTGGCATTCTGCTATTTAATAAACTAACAGTCCTACAGAATGTATTGATAAAATGCTTCTACTTAATAGAAATATTATAAAATCCTGGGCTGAAAAGAAATTAAAAGTTATAATTGTGGCAGAATGGAGAAGGCGATATTAATGGAGAGACTGAGAACATCAAGGTAAAGGCAGTTTTCCTGGCAACTGGGTTGGTATCAGGATCAATACATGGCTATTTTCAAGATCTTCTGGTTGTACTGATAAAGTAGAAGGATGCTTCTAGATCCCCAGTAGTGTGTCTTAGTATGAAGAAAAGAATCTTTGGACCTAGAGGACTCCTGATTTTACATCCTGACCCTACCATTTCCTGTGAGATCTAGGGTAAGTTCATATGAATTTAAAATAACATTTGATAATGTTACCTTGTATGATTTAGAACGTATATAGCATCTTTAATCCAGAAGGATGATTCTTTAACTTTTTAAGCAGTCTGAAGTATGTCATGCAAATGAGTAAGATAATATATATTTTTAAATTTTATAAATATTTCTTGGGTTTTTGGAAACATTGTATTCTGCTGTTTTTATGCTCTCTATAGGTCCATTAGACTACAGTTAGTAACCAGGTTCAAGTATTCTATATTCTTGCTGACTTTGTGACTGCTCAATCTATTGGTTACAAAAAAAAAAGGAAGTATGTTAAAAATCTATTATAGTGGATTTTTAAATTTCTTATTGTACATATTTCAAGTTTTTTCTTTATATATTTTGAAGCTATGCCATCACATGGATACAAGTTGTTTCTCTTCCCTGGAGAACTGAAACTTATTTCAACATATACTGAACTGCTTTATCTCTAGTAATTTGAGTAATTCTTTTTGTTTTAAAGGCTGTTTTATCTGATATTAATGTGACTATCCTGATCTTTCTGTGTTGGTTTTATAATTTAGAAATGTCTTACACACACCCAGCATGTGGCTGGGTTTTGGGTTTTATCCAGTCTCTTTTTCTAGATGAAAACTTCAATTTTTTTACATTGACTATGTTTACTAAAATATTTGTTCCCACTTTTTTTCTTAAGATTTTATTTATTTAATATTTGTTTGAGAGAGAGAGAGAGCATATGTGTGTGGGTGGGGGGAGGGATAGAGGCAGAGAATCTCAAGTCAACTCCTCGCTGAGCATGGAACCCAAAGCAGGGCTCGATCTCAGGAGCCCAAGATCATGACCTGAGTCAAAACCAAGAGTCGGATGCTTAAAAAACTGAGCTATCCAGGCACCACCCCCCACTTTTTTTCTTTTTGTCATAGTTAATGTCATCCTTTCTTGATTTCTTTTATTGATTTTTTTCACCTTCTTATTTTATCTTTCCCCTTTAAAATCTTTTTTTTTTAAAGATTTTATTTATTTATTTGAGAGAGAGAATGAGATAGAGCATGAGAGGGGGGGAGGTCACAGGGAGAAGCAGACTCCCCGCTGAACGGGGAGCCCAATGTGGGACTCGATCCCAGGACTCCAGGATCATGACCTGAGCCGAAGGCAGTTGCTTAACCAACTGAGCCACCTAGGTGCCCTATCTTTCCCCTTTAATATTTTGGAAGGTATCTATACTATTTCTATCCTATCAGTGGTTATAATAGAAAATGTAACATGTACCTTTAACATATCACATTTTAAATATAATAAATATTTTACCAACCTTCCTGGTAATACAAAGACCTTAGAATCCTTCGACTTCAATCATTTACCATCTGAGTTACATACTATTGATTTTCCAGGATGGGTGTCTATTTTCCTTTTTTTAATCCCAGTGATTATACATTATCTTACTATTATAAAACATATAGATGGTCAATGTATATTTAGATTAGCCTTTCTGTTTGCTATTTTCTTTGCTTACCATTCCCTCTTCATCTCAGGTCTTTATCCTTGAATTTCCTAAGGTACATCATTTGAAGTTCCTTCAGTGTGTGTCTGTTTTGGTAATACATACTTAGTGTATATGTATCTGAAAATGACTTCATTCCTTCATTCATAAGAGATAATTAAATAGAATACGTGATTTACAATAATTACTTAGACAATTCTACCTAAAAGTTATTTTCTCTAAGTGCTTTAAAGATATTCCATTTTCAACTGACATTCGTTATTGCTGTTCATAAGTCGGCTGAACCTAATTATGCTTCCTTGGAAGTAACTTGCCTTTTCTTTCTGTTTTTAACATCTTTGTCTCTGGGAGTCTATATCTGCACTATGATCTATCTCAGTGTGAATTTCTTTTTATCATGTATGCTTGGGATTCCTGGATATGAAGATGTATTTTTTTCTTAATTTTCTTTTCTTTTTTTTAATTTTTATTGTTATGTTAATCACCATACATTGCATCATTAGTTTTTGATGTAGTGTTCCATGATTCATTGTTTGTGCATAACACCCAGTGCTCCATGCAGAACGTGTGAAGATGTATTTTTTCATTTGTTTCTGGAAAACTTCAGCCATTGTCTCTTCAAATAGTGCTTCATCCATATCTTCTTATTTTCATCATAAACTCCAGTTTGAGATATGTAAGATCTGATGACCTGTCCTACAGATTTCTTAACATCTCATTCATTTTTCCATCCATTTGCATATTGGACCTATTTTCTTAAAGTTCTTTCTTCCTATTTACTACTTCTCTCTCTCCAGCAAAATCAATCTGCTGCCCTAATCTATCAGTTTGGTTTATAATATTAAGAAACAGAAAACTTAAACCCATACTCCTTTTAAGAAAATTTCTATAAATTCTATTTGTTTACTTTTTTAAAAGATTTATTTATTTATTTTGGCGGGGGAAGAGTGAGTAGGCATGGGGGAGTGGCAGAGGGAGAGAATCTCAAGCAGACTCTCTGCTGAGTGTGGAGCCATCATGGGGCTCCATCTCTGCACCCAAGACATCATGATCTGAGCTTAAATCATGAGTCGGTTTTTAACTGACTGAGCCACTCAGGCACCCCTCTATTTGTTTACTTTTTTTTTTAAGGTTTTAACATTCTTTATTTTAGACATTTAGATTTAAGGTGTTGAAACCTACTTGGTTTTGTGGGAAGGAGACCCAGACTGGCAATGTGTTATGGAAAATCTAGCTGTAACTGACAAGAGGCTCTCTAGTAAACCAATGGGCATATAATTGAATGAGGGTGTAATTTTTTAGAGAGAGATAATGCAAGTGAGAGCTAGCATGGGGGAAGGGGTAGGTGGGAAGGGGTAGAAGAGAGGGAGAGAGAGATTCTTTAAGCAGACTCCAAACTCAGAGCATGGAGCCCAACACAGAGCTCAGTCCTACAACCCTGAGATCATGACCTGAGCTGAAATCAAGAATCGGACACTTAACTGACTGAGCCACTCAGGTGCCTCTGTTTGTTTACTTTTTAATTCTGCTTGGTTAATTTTGATAATTTATTTTTCCTTCAGTATGTTTTCAGTTCAATCTTTAAAAAATATTAAACAAATATTTACCTTTGATTAATAAATCTAATTTCTAATGTCTTTCTCCCCCTGATTTTATTGTTTGTTGGTTCTTTGGGCTCTCATTCATGTGAGATTATTTTCTTGTACTAAAAAAATGATATTGTGATCTTGGATTCCTTGGAAATTATTATGA